TGTCAACGACAACAATTATCCCAAAAATACCAGACAGCATTTCGGGGAGGTTTGGGTACACAGACTGCCATTGTAAAGTTCTGTGACGATATAAGACAAGCGGTGAATGAGTCGAAGGTTGTAATTGCGATCTCGTTTGACCTTAGCAAGGCCTTTGATTCTGTTAATCATAAAAGATTATTATGCAGATTATCATCTATGAACATGTCGAATTCGGCCGTTGATTGGATTGGATCTTATTTAGCAAATAGGAAGCAGTCCGTACGCTCAAGCGAAGGTAACTCGTCGTGGGAAGAAATTGTAAGTGGTGTACCTCAGGGAAGTGTGCTTGGTCCGTTATTATTCTCACTATACATCACAGATCTAGCTAAATGTTTAGATTGCCAGTACTTATTCTATGCTGATGACTTGACTTACTGATATACCTTTCTTGCCATCTTTCTGAAATCAGTGATTGTGTGAATAAGCTTAACGATGAAATAATGAAAATTACAGATTGGTGCAGAACTAATCATCGAAAAATAAATCCTTCGAAGACGAAAGCAATCATTTGTGGAAGTAGAGCAAAATTTAGTAGGGATGAGTGCAGGCTAGCTGACGCAATCTTTGTCGAGGGGTGTGCTATTCCTTATAGTTGCACTGTAAAATACCTTGGGGTGATTATAGATAGTACTCTCTCATGGGAGAACCAAGTAACAAATTTGTGCAATCGCGCTATGAGTATTCTAGCACAGTTAAAAATAAACAATGAAATATTTAGTGAAACTTTACGCATTAAGCTAGTATCTACTTTAATAATTCCTATCTTTGATTATTGTTGTGCGGCATATACGAATATGTCAAATAAATTATTATTAAAGATGCAGCGTAAATTGAACTCATGTGTTAGATTTATCTATAAAGTACCAAAATATGAACATGTTACTCCATATTTTAAAAAGTTAGGTTGGCTAAAGCTTGCAGCGAGAAGAGATTATTTCATTGCTTGTCTATTTTATAAAGAAATTCGACTAAATTATCGGCAGCTATTCGCTTAAAAACTAGACTTTTTGCCTGTAGCATTACGTAGAGGTGATGTCCGACAGGACTACCTACGTATGCCGCGGGCTAATTGTGTCATGTATGATAATTCATTCTTAATTCATGGCATACGCATTTGGAATGCACTGTAGATAATTTGGTTGAATTTAAAAATGCTTGCTTCAATTACTTTTTTGAACATGACAGTTAGCAACTGTAATCTTTATTTTTGATCTTATTGAAATATATTTATTTGTTACGAATTATTACGAAGTTAAATTAAGTTATTTGTTTGTATTAAATGATCCAGCTGGATTTTATTATATTTAAAATTAAATCTAATTGTAAACCTTTAATTAGTTAAGTAGTCTTGTAACCTATGTAAACCAATGTAATTTAAATATTGATGGCTTTGAGGGAGCTTAGGCTCCAGAGCCAAATAAAATTTTTTATCTATCTATCTATCTATCTATATACCTTTATAAAAGTAATAATAATACTAAAAATTTAAGTAAATTAAGGAATGTAATTTGTGTATTTTTTATTTTAGCTACTTTCAATAGAATACAGATGTAAATTGCATTACGAAACTACTTGTGAATTTATTCACAAGTCCTTTTAGGCATCCACTATGGTAAACTGCGCCGCTTTACCCGCTTTACCCGCTTTTGCCGTCTTGTCGCTTTTCTACTTTAAACTACCACCCAAGAAAATATAACTTATATACTCCTTTTGAACCCTCTTTCTTCTTCTCCACCTTCTCCTCCTCTTCGTGCCAATTCAATTGCTGGTTACATAAGTTTCAGATTTTCTTCCAAGTTATCCTCGTCTCGTATCGTGACCAAACTACGCATCCTTATGTATTGTATATATATATATATATATATATATATATATACATATGTATAGATAAATTGTTGTGAGGGTGACGAAAGATTTTCCTCACATTTTTTTTTCTTTGCTTCAAACTACATATAATAAAATTTATAATTTAAAAATGAAAAAAATCAATGGATAATAATAACGTATTATAAATTGGTTAATTCTCAGAAAAATAATAATTATGTAAACAAAACACATGGTTACTAAATAGTCGATTTAAATAGACATTAACATTATATCTTAAATATATTACGATTTCCGGAATGATATATTGGACTTTTATTAGCATTTAACTTTTGAAAAGTAACTATCCTATGGTGTATAGACAAGCGTAAAATTGACGTCGATTATACTTTCAAATATACAGCACACAGAACCCACGAATTGCGATGATTGTAAGAGAAATGGACGAACAGAGACGAACAGAGATATATCAAAAGCTTTTTTTATATTCCTCCCACCTTTAAATTACTCGTCAAAAATCCGATAATCACTCAACCGTCAAATTTCATAAATATATTTTCACTTTTTTATTTTTTATAGGGATTAATTTATTGAATATATTATTTGCCGGGATGTTTTTAGTTTTAAAAGTAAATTAATGGAATAAGTGTATTGAAATGAGTTCGCTAGATTTATCTTTCGCTAAACGGTTTCCTGAAAGGGTTGTAGGTTGAATAATATGCTGTTCTCAGCTGTAATAGTAAGAGAGCTTTTAGCTTTTCAAAAAGAATAGAGAAGCAAGAGTGAGAAGAGTCTGGATAGGTGATGAGTTGATGAGGTGATGAGGATCTCACAGAGGGTGAGCTTTAGAGTTCCCGACGGACGCCCTGTTAGCAGTTAATGAAAATTAGCTTTAGTCGCTTGATTGAGCGTTAAATCGTTCCTTTCTTGTTTCGGTAGTCGGAATCAGACGAAATGAGTACAAGTCCAAAGCTATATCAATCTCACCCTACACAAAATCCCTCTTTTAATTTTACAATTCAGCTTAAGTTTACTGACAACGCACTATTTGTCAACTCTATAATTATAATAATAATAATAATAATAATAATAATAATAATAATAATAATAATAATGTTTTATGTTATGATAAACTATAACAGTAATAATAACACAACTGATGGTCAGCATTATTCAATCCAGTGATATTTAACAGATCTACTTGCTCTGAATTGTTTATATATTAAGGTGTAAACATACTGCGATAATGAATTGCAATAGAGTCTATTATATATTATCATCTCTACTTTTTCTATTTCTATTCTATTCTAATATTTTGTAACTTATAACTATCATACAGATAGAGAAAATATAAACTGGATTGACATAATAACTCTTTAAGATTTGTTTAACGTATAGTATATAAGCTCTCTTATTCTGTTTCAAGGGGTTGATGCAACCATATGATAATTTACAATGATATGATTACGGTTGAGTACATCCATCCGGACCCATCCTCTTTATGGTACATGGTACATGGTGTATGAATTTCTCGTACAATCAAACTCCAATAAAATTACACAGTACACGTGAATAGCTGTTGAATTTAATATTAAACTTACTAAAATATTATAATAAAATAAATAATATTATTTATACATTTATTTACATATACTCTAATATACACAACTTTTAATCTAATATATTATAATATTTATAGCTATTAATTATAGTTATAATGTCCTAATATAAATACAGAATACAATTTAAGATAAATGTTTTTAAGTTTATTTATTACTTTTAGTGACAATTCAAATATTTTTATTTATTTATTTATTTATTTATTTATTTAAATTTAAATTATTTATCATTATTGTGAATAATTTTTGATAATTGAGTTTCACGTGGCAGTTGATGTTGAATCTCGGGTGGTAGATTGGGTTGCACCTGTAAATGGGGAGGAGTGCTGTGGAGCGAAGGACAGAGAAGAGGATGATAGGGTAAACAGTAGTAAGGGAAGGTGTTGAACGGTTTATTTGATGGGTGAATTTGTGGCGGGCATGAAATTTGACCGGGTAATTGTAGATTAGAATTACGTAGAGAAGGCAATCCTCTCAATTGGTCATCTGGATGCACCAGTACTCTGACCGCTACTCGTCTTGCAGCATTTGAATTGACAATCGCGCCCAATTCTTGTTGCTGTCGTCTTTTGGTTTTATACCTTTTTTTTTTTTTTTTTTTATTTCATTATTAATATTAATTTAATAGAGATAATAATTATATACAACAGAAACATTACAGTTTTATAGCATTACCTTCGGTTTTGAAACCAAATTTTAACTTGAGTCTCTGTTAACTTGAGCCCACGTGCAAGATCAGCTCTCTCTGGCCCGGAGAGATATTTTTGCGCAGCGAATCTTCTCTCAAGCTCGTACACTTGAGCATGCGAAAATGCTGCTCTGCTTCGCTTTTTTCTGTTCTGAAGTAATTGCCCATGAGATTGATTATCGTAAATATCATCCTCCATTTCATCTGTAATAAAATAAGAAGAAAAAAAAAAAAAAGAAAATATGTAGAAAGAATAAATAGATAATTATTATAAACAGGGATGATGAGATGGGTTTAAAGAGATGTGTTTGAAGTCTCCTTTTAAATCATCATATATTTTAAATGATGTTAAGCTAAATGTACAAGCAACACACGTGCCAGTACTATATGCCGCTGTGTTTACTTATTCATATGACTGGTTGTATTGGGTGTACGCGGCAATTCCTCTTTAACTTTGCTTAACCAGAGTCAGGTACCTCATCCAACTCATCCAACTCATCCAACTCATCCAACTCACCCAAATTGTTTAGTCTCAAATGCCATACACCTTATGATACATGGCTTTTTTAATAACTTTTTAATAGCTTAAACAACTTTTCAATAATTATACAACACATCATATCATCATTTACTCTATTAATAAATTATAATACTCTATATATCATAGTCTAGTCTATATTTACACTACTATTAGACGAATGATTGATTTTAATGTTGGATAAAAGTTAAAACGCTCTGTTACTTATACATTTAATTATATATAGTTAGAAGACTTGTATTGAGGGTTAAATGATGGATATATAAGTAGTTATTTACTACATAAAAGTGCTTGATACGTTTGTTCTGTAACTCGATACTATCTATTTCATCTTTTATACATATACTAAAGAGGATTATCATCAATATTAATTCTATTATTCTTTATAAATATTTATTTTGGGAGGAAAATTTTTTAGCTTGACATAATAAAAAGGATGACTAAACATGTATAATATATATTTAATAAGAGAGAATTAAGTAGTTGTGCCGAAAAGGAAATAGAAAAAAAAAAAAAAAAAAAAAAAAAAAAAAAAAAGAGATATTGAGGATCTGACGGTAAATGAACAAGTGTAAGAGATTTAGAGTAGTTCAAGCCACTTGTGACGTCTGCTTGGTCGAGTGGCACTTATGCTACTAAAATTACATTCAATTACGTTATCTACGTAGCTCGGGTTAACTTAAAAAACTATCGAGGATAATGTAACAGTGCATCGCAGTTTATAATAACAACAAAAATAAGAAAAAAATTGTCTGATCCTTTTAAAATAATATATACTAACCGAGATATTTAGTTTTACTCATATCCAAAGCTTCGTCCTGCTGACGATGATTAGACTCCCGTGAATCTTTAAATTTACGATAATTGCCAATGTTACCAAGCTCGTCAAGACTTTGAAAGCTCGCTCTCGTTATCCCAGACAGGGGAAGATTATTGTAATTAGACAAGCTTGCCTGATTGACTAGATTTCTTCTTAAAATATTCAACTCACGAGTGACGTTTACCCTGCTATCCGGGGATATTGTTTTTCCCAAAAAAGACGCTCCACTGCTGCTGGACAATTGAGAATCTAGTTCAATTACTGATTCACCACCACCACCACCTCCATTATTATTATTATTTTTTGAATTATGTTCCAAAGAATCACGTTCTCCATAAGATTCTTCAACAATAACAGGACGAATTTCTAGCTGTCCCACGTGGTGAGTTGAATTGCTATTGCTGAGAATATGCTCAATACTGAAGGGTGTTGGTTGAATAGATAATGCACTTTTAGGAGAGTCTATTCCATTTTTCTCGGTAGCCATTGCCCAATAATTAAATACATTCGATGACACTCAACAACAAAACTAAACCAAAACAATTATCACATTTATTTGATATAATTTATCCTAAACATCGAGCAAAAATAATCACTTTTAGACATTTTTTAAACAACAATTATTGAAACACCGTCTGTCACTGGTGCCCAGCACTATTTAAAAAATTTGTTAAATAATTGTAAAGATATTTAGGTAAAGTGTGGTTTACGTGGTTTGCGCGGTTTTGCGTGGCTCGTCGGGATAACTTAGTTTTTGGAATTAGTGTGACACTCAACTGTGCACTCGGCTTACTCCCACCAGAGAGCTCTTGCTGGCTCTTGAACTGGTGAAAAGAGTAAAAAAGTAATGAGGATGATGCTACTTCTCCCTCTATGACTTTAAATAATGAACCATTTGAAATAGATGTTAGGAGTGGATAAATTTATTTATTTTTTTTTTTTTTTTTTTTTTTCTAGTCACACACAGTGTACTGAAGCCTTAACACACACGTTTAAAGGATCCAAGTAGTAATTGTAATGATAATATATTTTCTTGTGTATTATACTGAAAGTTATCGTGTAGGTGGAGTCTCATTGGTTATCTCGGTTATCCGTTTTTGTCAGACACCTCGCGAACCAGCTGCAGAATACTCTCTTGCACTTGTTTAATCCGCGGCCTCGCCCAGCGACCAATCCATGGATTTTCCTACACGCCGGTTTTTACCCAACAACCAATCCAGTTTTAGTAGTAGTAGTAGGGTTGATGTCGATCAGGCGATCAGGCGCCACTCTCACCAGTTACCGTAATCCCACTCATCGTACCACCTACACACCCGGCCGACTATCACCACCACCAACACCGCTGTCACTTTTATTTTTTTTTTTTTTTCAATAAATTCGACAAGAGCTTTTTACCACAAGACAAATTAATTTGTTATTCACCAGCCAATATTATCTTTTAATTTTTCTAACAATGATAAATCTTTAACAATTGTAATTAAATGGTTGATTAACAAAATTTTTTAAATTGGTGAATTAAATTTAATATGAAAGCAAGTTTGTTTGAAGAATAGTCACGTCTCGCCTCTGTGAATTGCCAGTTAATTTAACAATTTAATACAAAAGTATGATATATCTCAGCATCGTATTGCGGATATAGAAATCAAATTTATATTTGATAGTTGTGGGCGCTAGCTCGTCGTCGTGACTACTTGGATCTAGTATAAAATAGTATCGAGATGGTACGAAGGGGAAAGAGGAGGGGGTGATGTCGACACAGGGTGTACTTTACATAACAATTGTCGCTAAAGACTCCCAGGATTGCATTGTCCGTCACGTGCGAGTTGTTGAGTCGTTGAGTTGTCGAGTTCCTATGCTGAGTTAATTAAGTGTGAACCACAGAAGCGCGATAATATTATCACGCCTCACTTGATAGGATGATGCCCATTATATCAATAATATACTACTTAATATTTATATATATTATCATTCTTTATAATTTTCTTCCAATACTTTTATTTGACTTGAAAAAAAAAAAAAAAACTTAATTGGCTTGATAAAGTAACTTATAAGCAGACCATCATTGGATATTTTTTTCCGATTCATTCAATCGATACCAAATTACAGGGTGATGAATAAGAGTAAAAGGAGAATGATAGAGAAGAAAGGGGGTGGGAATGGGTGGTGTACCAGTACTAGTCTCCCCTAAGCCAAGTCTTTGACCCTCATCCCGTTCAATTGGTCCCAATTCTTAAAGACCTTAATTGGCGCGTAAAATTATACCTTATTTCTACTACCCCAACTTAAATAACTTAATGGTTTAGCAGTTTAGCAGTTTAGCAGTTTACCAGTTTACCAGTTTATCAGTTACAGAGACATAACTCCAGAACAACTTTTTTCTATCTGTCTATTTTCATTATTAATTAATTAATTAATATAAATAAAAATTTTTTAGCTATATATTTTATTATTCCATCATTACACATTTGATGATGATAATGTTGTTTAAATAAATAAATAACAAAAAAAAAAAAAAAAAAAAAGAAAAAAGGAGAGTAATAAAAAACAAGGAGACCGGATGACTGGTAACTGTTTGTTAGTCTTAGGTTTTAAAGTCCGCACGTCTGTCAGTTCAGAGATGTAATATTAGTGCTCAGTGTATGGAACCGGCAACCGCCAACGCGAGCATCACCATCAGCTAAACTCTACATACAACACTCTCTCTACTGACTTTATCATTCTACATGTAATGACGCTCATTCACTTTTATTTCATCTGTCCTTTATTCCTATTCGTACATCTTCTTCGAACTTACTTGTTGGACGTTGACTTTGTATATACTTTTCTGCCTTTTTTTTTTTTTTTTTTTTTTTTTTTTATAAACATGTATACATTAACATGACAATTATTATTATCTTTAAAGACGATTCACTTATTTATAGTACTCACTGTACGGATAATACATACATCATCCATTTAAATACTTTTAAACATTTTAATATTACACTTTATTTTTATAATTTTCGAATAATTGATTGATTGATATGTTGATAAAAAATAAAATAAAAGACCGCAGATATTATTTATTAATAATTTACAATGAAAAAGAAGCTTTTGAAAATAAAAAGTAGAGCTTTAACGTACCATCTGGTTAGAATCGATAAGCTTGGACCCGTTGTAGCTTACTGCAGCTGCTAGATTCTCCTCGACTCCTCGACAGACATCGCATATGTTTTGTCATAATCTTACTCCAGTCGGTAGCTGTGCTTTCTTCTTTCTTCCAATCGCCCTATTTTAAAATTTATCTTCTATTTACCCTTGAATTGAGATGTTCAACTTATCCACTGACAATTCTAAAGGATATACCATCCAATAATATAGTTTAAAAAATATATAAAATTTTACAGAATTACAATTTATTATATTAAAGTTCAATTATCAGTATCAATTTCAAGTGAAACAGTAATATTAGTATACTTATTTATTTAATATAAAAAAAATTTGGCAAGTACAAATTGCGTGATATATAATTTTTAGTTAATAAATAATGGATCTATGCTACTGAAAATAATACGATACCTTGCAGTGAGTATAATCTCAAGTTATTATTATTTTTATTCACCGTTTGTCCTCTTTTTATAGTAAAATAGTATCATATTTCAATATTTAACATTTAGTGATTGATCGGATGAATAAATCGTCTAATGGAATAATCATAAAATATATTCAACATCAATAACACTATTATTATTATCAAGTAGTTTTTTATATTTATTATAATACAAATAAAATATAACAACTAGTTATAATTACAAAATTAAGTACATTATTATTATTATTATTATTATTATTTTTATTAATAGTATAAATTTTTATCACGCGTATCTTCTTAATGTAGTTAAAAGTTTAAAATAAATGTCTGGCAATAATGTAGATATACTGTATCAAGCTGTTCCCACGATCTTACGATTAAGACCAGAGTATCATCCCTTATTGTATTTAACAACTCTCAAGAGTAGTAAGAACATGATATAATACGACGGTATACTTTAATAAACATCGATATTACACAGTAAGTATAATAAGAATAATATTGTTTTTTTTTTTTTTTATATCATCACGTGTATTTAAATGCTAATTTGTAAAAAGATTAGTAGTACAAGAGTATATTAATCCGGCATTATTGTATGTTGTAAATATAGTTGTTATTTGTTATCAGTAATGTTCCCATAGCCCGTTAGCCCATAATAGCATCAGTAGCACCATAGGGTTATTAATCAGAGCTGGTGAGAGTGAATAAAGATAAAGAAATAAAGAAAGAAAGAAAAGAGAAGAGCGACGGCAATATGAGTTTATTATATGCGCGTCCACTTGACTGCCAGATGACCCGTCATACTCTCGCGATAACCCTAAAAGCACCAATGGTTTAACTCAACCTGTCAGAATCCATACCTATTTATAAATTATAACTTATTATAATTCTTATAATTTTATTTTAAACACCAACCCCTTCTTCTTATTCTTCCTCTTTTTCTTCTTCTTATTTTTTAATTATTACTTTATCATTATATATACATATCTTTAGTAGGTTTTTTTATGGTCTCATTGGTAAAAGCATTAGGCTGCTTTAGATTAAAAAATTAAAAAATTAAAAAAAAAATTATTTTTTCCTTAAAAAAAAAAAAAAAAAAAAAAAAAAAAAAAAGTTATAATTATAAATTACATACTAAATAATAAGGTTTACATTTAAAGTTTTGGTATATACTCTTATATAACTATAAATATATTAATTACCAAAGCCGCTGAATACTTTGATCCATAGGTAATTGTTCCATATAATTAACATAACTTATTTGATAATTAGAGGGATTAGTGTAGTTTGAAAACCCAAAGTCATTCCCCGATATATCCATAATAGAACGATTTTCATTATTAAATATCGAGCCTGATTTATTGTTATCAGAAGAAACAGGCTTAAACTCTGTAAAATTAGAAGAAATATCGTTAAAGTCTTTGTATTCAGTCTTAATGCTTTTCATTCCCGAAGAACCAAAATTATTGGCTCGATAATCGATTGATGAGGAAAAACCGTGCCGATTAATATCTTGATTGGGGCTAAAATTATTTTTAAATTCAGTAGAGATACTCGTCGAGTCTTGTCGTACGTCATTTAGCCTGTAGTCAGGGCTCAACTTAACGTGACAAAAATCGGGTTGAATGTCTTGGGAACTTATGTGATCAGGTCTGAATCCACTGCTCCAGTAATTTACCCCTCCAGAATCACGAGTGTTCAATTTTCCATCCTTTATCAACACAGGAACGTTTATTTTCTTAACTGGTGGTTGATTTTTAATGTTATGAGATTGTACGTGTTTTTCGGCGTCTTCGATTCGGGCTCGTTTGTTCTTGTATCGGCGATTTTGGAACCAAATTTTGACTTGAGTACTCGTGAGCTTCAAAGTTGACGCCAACACTTCGCGTTCTGGGGCACTCAGATAACGTTGCTGTTTAAAACGCTGCTCCAATTCATAAACTTGAGCCTGGTGGAAAAATAGATTCAATTATTAATATTATTGTCTTATTAATTTTACAAAAATAAATTCAACAATATTATTATTATTATTAAACTTACTTGAGAAAATAAAACCCGGGGTTTTCTTTTGGTTCTTTTTCCAGACTGATTTTTCCTCAACTCTGTTTTACTAGACGTCACGATATTTCCTGTTTAATCAAATATTTAATAAAATTTTTAAGATGTATTGATTATAATGAAAGATTATAATAATAATAATAATAATTTACCATCTTCAACGTGAGTATTTTCTTGATAAGAAGTTTGAATATGTCCCAAGGGTTGTTGCTGCTGCATCCCGCTCAAGTCGGAATAGTTTTGATTATTTATTTGGTGATTGGAGGAGGGCAATTGCTCTTTGTACTTATCAATCATGTCCCAATGATTGTCCGGAGTTGAATTGTATCCATAATAATCCTGTGACAAATTATAATTGTGGGATGTCTGGCCATGGGAATTGTACGAATCCATCGTATCGATATGATTTTCATTCAAAATATCACGAACACTGAACGGTATGAGAGATGGCATCATTTTATTGCATCGCGTTTATTATTTCAATTAATATAGTTATTGCTAAAAACACTTTTTTTTTTTTATTTATTTTAATACACGGACACTTTTATAAACTTTTAATCGAATAATGACACTGACACTGATACTAATAAGAATTAATTTTCAATAAATGAGTAGAAAAATATGTAATAGGGTAATTATGCTGTTTAATGTGGTTGAGTGATCAGGTCCAAGAGCAAACGTCAAATGTGACTACTCGTATCGGGACAGGGGCAACTAAAAGTCAAGTGGTGGATATAAAAATACAAGACAGAAGAATGTGTAAGCTGTAAGCTGTAAGCTGTAAGGCTGTAAGCATACTCAAACTTATACGTGGGTGTATTAGTGTGCGTGCGCCATCCTCTGTCCATGTCTTAAACGATCTGTAGATATGTATACATCTATAAAATTAACTCCCACTACTTTCCTAATACTGTTTATCGATACATCTAGACTTAAAAAAAAAAAAAAACAAGTTTCATTTTACAAACTACCAAACTATTTATTTAATTAACAATACAGCTAATAATTATTAGTTAAGGGATAGGACTGTAATGTTTATATACTTTATGACAGCCATCTAATGTATTTAATTAAATTAATAAACTTGGGGCGGAGGAGTCAAGCGTAAAAGCCCGCCTCTATCTTCAATCTTTGTGGCTTGAACCAATAAAAAATAGTATATAATAATATGACATAATCAAATAAATTTAGTACTGACCAACAACCATTTTTTTTCAAGGTTATTAATTTAAATGATTCAAAAATATATTTACCATGTTTAACTCAATGTTTAATCGTAAATTTATTATAATATTTTAATTAATAAATAATTTTTTAGTTAGTATTAATATTATGTGTGATATTATTTTTGTTGTTGGGTCACACGAGGCATATCTATACAGTATATATAATATATATTATTATATAGTAACACGCGCGCGAGAGTCCCTTTTATATTCTTTAATAACATTATCCAGACACCAATGTTGCTCATCAGACATCCAAGGAACCCTTGAAATATAACTTCGTACCCGTTCAAACTTTTTTTTTTCTATTTTTCAAAATCTGTTGATATATATATATATATATATATATGTTCAACTTATATTTATTTCAAGTCTGCTACAATTTATTATTATTAATTTATTATGAATAATTTTGAGTAATGAAAAGAAAAAATAATTCGTTCTACACATCACTAGCTCCAAATCCTGTTGTTGTATTTGAGCCTGTATCTATAATTGTTTAAAATATTAAATTTTTGTTTATTAAATTACTAAAAGAAAGGAAAATAATATAAGAGAAGATGAGTGCATATAGATGCAGGTTTCATCGGTGTGTCATATGCTGGACGTTATAGCATCAGAGGCGCCAAGAGATACCAGGCGTCTCTCCAGCTCTTCAACTGTAGGAAACATGTCGTCATCTCAAATTTTATACCTATATGTATAAATAAATCAATTTGACAAATGACATTTATATAAAACTTTGTTTTTTATATCGAATAAATTTTTCAATTGTATAAACAATAATTTTTGCTTTTCATAAAAAAATAAATTGTAGAATAATGATATTTAACGATATTTGTAAAAGAGTAAAAAAATATATAAATTAACTAAATTTATTTGTAAAATAACAGAAAAATACAAGTATATCGAGTTGTAAGGATGCCTCTATCATATTATTGTATTATTTAGAATAACAGTAGAGCACAAAAGAGTCTTTTGTATTAAATCAGACGTTTGGTTTATATAGTATACAACCATAATCTACACGTGGTGTTTTATGTTTATAATTTTCAACGAAAATTTTCATTTAGATTTATTCGACGTTAGTAGATGTGAGGAGTGATCTGAGCTTATAATTTCATCCTAATCTCAATCGAAATGCTTCAATTTACAATATTTTTTTTTTTAAATTGATAAATATTGAAATATGTAAGGGACGGAAAAAAAAAAAATAAATAAAAAACTAGTAAAAATTGCCAGACTTAATAGATGCCGATGTCGCCGGTGTTGTTCTCATGAGCAGAGTCCCGTATACCAGACAATTACTATGTGGTACTTATCTGGGTGTCTAGACGTCGGCTACCCTGTAGAGAACTCAAAAATTTGTTACATTTCCCAGAAACGTCCGGTCGACTTTCGGAAAATTGTAATTTGAAACTATACATAAAAAAAGACAATATATTGCTTGTTTCCGTTTTTTGTACCAATATATTTATGTACATGAACTGTTTTCCTTTTCCTTTTTTTTCTTTTTTTTCTTTTTTTTCTTTTTTTTTTTTTTTTTTTTTTTTTTCGTTTTATTTATAATTTAACGGAAGAACATTGATATATGTATTTTTTTTTTCATTCAAATATTATTTTAAATTCTTTCTCTTATTTTTACTATTTCTTAATGTATTTTTTTGAAAATATAAACACAATATTTCATTTAAAATATTAAACTAATTATTTGTTTGCAATACTTATTAAAAACCTATTGAAAAAAAAAAAAAAAAATAATAAACTTATACTTATTATCCTTTACAAGTAATAATAATAATTGTCAAGAAGGGAAAAATATATTAAATCTATATTATAATATTTGTCGTCTTGTTTGACGACCAATAAAAAAGTTTTCTTAGCATGGTCATCAACTTTTTCAATTTTTGAATTGGATAAAATGTGTTTTAATCGTCCTTCAGAACATTAGTTAGTCTATATGTTCCTCAATCGATAGATACAAAAACACAATTTTAATATCATCTGAAGGATCTGACTTTAAATATTTTCGTGTAACTTTCTGTGTATAGATGTCACTGTATGTACACTTGAAGACACCCCAACCAGATACCTGAATATACCTTTTTTAATTTTTCTGTCAATAATAATTGTGTTTTTTCATTGAAGAAATTAAAAATAATTATTATTAAAGTTTATTTCAAAAGAATTTAAAGATTTGGTAATCCCAAAAGTCTGTAAAATGAGCTACTGAAGATACAGAAGAAATCACGAGCAAAGATACAGTAGGCTCAATATATAGAAAATACATGTTGAATATCGAAGCTTAGTTAGTTTTTTATACAGTAGATGGCTGAATCTACGAGCTTTTACACGTTAACTTTACATTAACAAATCTTTACTAATTCTATCAGCCTGTCACGGAAATAATTTTTTAACAAGGGTTATCGTTATTAGAGTCAGCACACAACATATAACATATATATATATCTTTACGTGTAATCTCTGAAAGATAAAATTAAAGTAAAAAAACGGTGATTAATTATAAATCTAAGTGGTATTCCCTCTGAGATTTATATTTACAAATCAAATATTATGCTCAAATTCATAAAAAAGCTATATTCAGTCAACTAAGACTAAGGGTTATCACTTGATAAATTGATTTTAAGAGCTAGTTAATATAAGTATCTTTCACATGCGTAATGATACCAAAAGAACTGATAATTTTATAAGCTTATCAAAGGTATCAATGATATCTTCACGAGCCGACGGATTGATGCGCGACGTCTATTTCGCCTTGTAACCCCCGTTTATCTTTTAACTATTATTATTAAGTACAAATAATAAATTACATATACATATCAATTGATTGTATTTAATAGCTATTTAAAGAACAGTAGGATATATATCTGTATTATTTAAATGAAATTTATACATCAAAATCTAAAGCTTTATAATATGAATTTATATTAAATATATATTTAAAAGATATGAGGATTGAACGTGTACAGCGGGGGGTAAGTTAAATCTTGGGTGGTTCAATTTGTCTGCGTTTGTTGATATATATTATTACGAGGTCATTCTTAATAATTTAATAGTCTTGCCCCGGAATAACGTCATCCATTATATAATTTAAAAAACAGCAAAGTCATCGAGACAACCAATTTAATAAATTTTTATCATCATCAATTTATTTAGTTATAATAATAATAATAATAATTAATTTTATTGAGACGTACGAATTGAAATATTATAATGATGATTTAATTGGTATAAGGTTTAATATTATAAACAGTATCATATGGTAGTTAGTTTAAAGTTATTTTATACTTTAAATTGGGCTTTCACTTATTAAATCTCAGATTTCAGCAGCTGATGTGATTTATAATTGTATCTCTTATATATTTTATGTACAATCGCGGGTCTTCTCATCGCAGTCGATTAATTACGCAAATTTACTACTACCATTCGTTTAAATAGTAAAAAAGTTATTTATCTTTTATGTTAATTAAACGGAAATGTTTCTCATAATTATTACATATTGAGATTAAATTCCATTAAATATATACTCTTATATATAATATGTTACAGGCTAATTTTTAAATACATCATTACAATAATAAATACACAATTTCATTATAATAATTAAATTAATTACTACTGTTATTATAAATACATATTTATTACCCGAGTGGAGTCGAAAAAGAATGTTGTCAGAATGTCAAATTAACCCAATTACTTATTGGCTTTTTATTTTTTTTTTTTTTTTCATTCTTTTATTGAAGAGCTGTTTGTGGAAATACGTGTAATGTGATTCAGCGATTCATCAATGTATATATCACTTTACCAAAAAATAACAACCTGTTATATATGTATATATGTATGTGCGTCAGTGTGAGCTACTTAACAACTCTCATTATTAACGGCTTGCAACAAGTCATTCGTTATTATAATAATAATAATAATAATAAAGTCAAAATTACTCAGACTAGAAGAATAATCGTACACACAGCAGATAAAAAAATATAAAAAATGACAGAAAAAATTAAAAAAAAAATAATAAGTCATCCCGATATGCCAGCGTATAATTATGATGATGACTTGATCTTTTAATTTGACAGGATAATTAATTGATAAACATATATAACATACTATATAATGATTGCAGCAAATTATTTAGACATATCTGGACGCATTTAAAAATCTATTTATTTAACCTCATTTTCATTATTATATACTCATAACTATATC